AATATCTCATTCACCCATTATCCGTTTTGAGCGTACAATATATCAATCTCTTCGTCTCACTACGAAGAACTCGAATCCACATTGACCCGACCCAAATTGGAAGTGGATCTCACTGATAATTGTACCACAAAATAGCCACTTAAAATGCTATTTTTCCAACAAACCCCCACATGAATGAAAAATTGATTTTCAGGATATTTTGAAATCGGAAACAACTGTGTTCAAACGGTCGATCCCTGCATAGGATAGGTAGGGAGTCACTATACCCTTTGAACCTTCCCTTGTGAAGATATGTTTACTCTACTGGCTGTACGGTAGAACGCGATGTCTTTGAACCGACTGCCGTTTGTGTAGATGATGACATACCTCACACAGAAACCTCCCAACCATGCTCTGTTTTCATGAGTGTGCCCATTTTGGCCGTGGGTCACCGTTCCTGGTTCTGCGAGAGTTTCTAAAGAATTGTGCCCAACAATTCTCCTTTGAAGCGACCCTCACTTCTCTCTTACATAGGTGATTCTTTCTCGAGTATCCCGCTGACTCAAGAATCATTAAAGCATCAACATGCTAGCATCGTGCGGGAGTCACTGTTTCTAACGAGGAGTGGTAGGGAGTCCGAGACCCCCACAATGACATGCTCCGTTCCATAATTTAGTTGTCCCATTGAACCTAGGTGCTAGCTAGGTTGGGTATCCACTATAGAACTTTTAGTCCAAGGGCTTTAGACCCATTCCTCGTTCCAACTTCTCAACAACCATTTGCTTACCTCGGGTTAGCGAGTTAGCGGCCGCTACGTTATCTTTTGACATCAGGTAGTCAATAGAGATAACCCCTATTGTGAGAAATTGTTTAATGGTATTATGTCTATGACTCATAAGTCTAGACTTACCATTGCACATCTAACTCTGTACTTAACCAATTTTGGCTTGACTATCACAACGCACACAATTGGAGGTACGATTTTATCTCTAGGAACATTCTCGAAAAAATGGCATAGCCATTCGGCCTACTTGCTCGCGATACGAGTATAAGGCTCTCAGCTTTGATCCCGTCATAGATCTTAACTATCACAAATCGTTTCGAGAATTTTCATTCAACCAACTGCACTGGCCTACGAAAACACGTAGCCTTTAATGGACTTAGCGTCATTTGATATACGTGCTATACTATCCAAGTACAGCTAGATATCCCACGTAGTGCAGTCCAAAGTCACGAGCATACCTTAAGTATCTCATAACTCTCACTATTGCCTTCTAGTGCGCATCACTAGGGTTACTCAGATGTCTACCGAGTTCGTTAACCGCAAAGGCAATATCCGGTCTAGTACAACCCATTTGATACAATTAAACTACCAATAATCTGAATGTATTCTCCATGAGAAGTACAATCCCTGTGATTATTGCTAGTTGTACGTTAGTATCTAACGGTGTCCAAACCACTTGATTATCATCCTTTACAAGGATTCAATCAACACAATGAGATTGGCTTAACACGAGACCATATGGTCTTCTCACGATTTTAATCTCGAAGATTAAGACTGCCAAACTCACACCTCTCATGTCAAATCTCAATTTTAACATGTTTCTGCTAGAATTGATCATTACTACCCATGTTGAGTTTATCGTGTATAAACAAACAGTGATGTCGTCGTCTATCGTACGCAAAACGTAGACACACTTTTGACTTTCGTTTATACTAAACTCGTTGGTCATCACTGCATGATCAAAACCTCACATGCCAAACACTAAGGTAATTGTTTCGAACAATACAATGATCTCACTAATTACACACTTTCTTTTCACATCGTGGAACCACAAACCCTCAGGTCATTCCATGTATACTAAGAAAGCGACATATCCATTTTGTAACATACCGAAAGTTGGCATAACTTAGCCCGCAAGGCCAGCCAATTTCCGAACGACATTCGTGCCCGCGCGCACGAGCTCGTGCTTGAATCAAGCCTGTTCGATCGCGAGAGAGCATCTATGCTATACAATTCTACAAGCTCCAAAAGAGCTCTTGTATAAAAGGGGAGTCAAATCCTCTTTCTAAACCAATGTGGGACAAAAGCTCACTTTTTCCCTTCATTTTCCAACTCAAATGGGTCTACTTTGAGAATCAATATCTCATTCACCCATTATCCGTTTTGTGCGTACAATATATCAATCTCTTCGTCTCACTAGGAAGAACCCGAATCCACTTTGACCCGACCCAAATCGGAAGTGGACCCCGCTGATAATTGTACCACAAAATAGCCACTTAAAATGTCATTTTAATGCTATTTTTCCAACACAAACTATGTACTAAAATGATTGAAATAGTTGTAATTTATTTAGTAATATGTATTTATCGAACCTTTTGTACATTTAGTATTAGTGTATTGAATTTGTTTTATTTAAAAATTAAATTTGTAAAATAAAAAAAAATGGAAAATAGAAAACTGGAGAAATGAAAATTGGAAAAGAAAAAATAGAGAAAGATGGTGTTATTATTATTATTATTTTACTATAGTATATGTAAGGAACGGTTGATAAAAACAAGATTGAAATATTGAAAGGTAATGTTATATAATACCTTAAAATATGGAGGCAATCACATTACTTCCAACACCTCAAAATTCTATGTTGCGGTACGTAATACTGAAGTATCAGATAACTTAAACTAATTAAATAAGATTATATACATCACTATACTCACATTACATGATTAGTACATAATTATATTTGAACTAAACACACCTTAAAGAGTTTTGGACCATACCTTCTCATGAATTCGGACTCAAACCTAATACGAGTTAGTTTTATAATAGTGGGGATGGTGAGTGCTATATGCCATTAAAAAGAAAAGAAAAAAAAAAAGAAAGTGAAAGGAGCACTACAAATTCCGTTTAAGATTTAGACTATCTATGTTATTTCTCATTTTTACACGGCAATCACTATTACATTTTTTTTTTTGAAAATGGCAATCACTATTACATGATTCATTATATATGTATATTATTAAATATATTTAATAATTAAAACATTTTTAAGTATTCCTGACTCTATTACAATGTAGTATCTGTCTATAAACGTATTGAAGCAGAAAGAGTCAACGCCTCCACTAGGCAACAATTATACCACAAGGTGGATCCGGGTCCAAAAATACACAATTTACAAAGCGATTATTCACTTGTCCCGTTGTCCATAAATCAAAGAAGTTTAATTTTTATATAAATCTTCATTTTAATTTTACTATTGCAAATTGGGCTTAAATTCATTTGTTATTGAGCATTTAAAGGTTCCCATAAAGGATTAAGGTAGTCAAGAAATTTGAAAAATATTCAAACGATTCTTCAAGCATAAAGAGTTAATTGTGCACCCGAATAAAGAGCTACTACTTCATATAAAGTATGTTCTATAATAATAATATGTGGGGACAAAATTTTGCCTTTTAAAAATATATCCATAGTTGCCATGTCACTTAAGGTGAATGTTACAATGACAGTCGTGATGATTTAAAAATTAATTCGTTTTTTAAAATAAAAAAAAAACAATTTTTTTTTTTTTGCTTAAGTTTAAATTATATTTTTTTTGTCAGTTTGAGGATTAATTATCTTTTTTGAAAAAGTTTCAGAACTTAACTTTTATCCTTTTTTTTTAAATCTCTTTTTTTTTTAATGCTACTAATTTTATTAGAATGTAGTATCTGTTTATAACTACTTTCTCAACCTGCTGAAACACAAAGAGCCAATAACGCTCCACTAAGGCGTTCGAACTCACAACCTCTCATATGGGAGTCCAACCCGAGTGTCATCTGTGCACAAGGTGCTTGACTAAAAAAAAGTCTCTTTGTTTTCTTATAATACTTAGTATTAAAATAACAATGTTATTTATATCAAATTTTAAACCTTTTAATTTGACTTTTTATGAATTTATAATAGAGTGAGAAATTTACATCTTATACAATAAAAATATATAAAAATTAATGATAGTAATGTCTAATGAGAATAAAAAAAAAATGTGTTAGTGACTTGGTGTGATTATATTTTGTACATTTATAAATTCTTCACAATTTTGTTTATGTTTTCCATCCAAACTTATTAATGCTATTAAATAATATCGGTAAATATAATAACTTATACATTCTGCTTTTTTTCTTTTACGCTTACAAAATGTTCAATTCTAAATTTCTTCTTTATAAATCATGTGCATTGATTATTTCTAATTTTTTTTCTTCATACTTTTAGAACTTTTTTCTCAGATCATATATTTTTACATTTATTTTTTTATAAAATTTTACTCTTATTATTACTACTACTATTATTATTATTATATTATTATTATTATTATTATTATTATTATTATTATTATTATTATTATTATTATTATTATTATTATTATTATTATTATTATTATTATTATTATTACTAGTAATTCACCCGCGCGATGCACGGGAAAAATTATGTTATTATAAATATAAATAAAAAATAAAAAAACTAAAATATTTTAAATTATTTAATATAATAATATTTTTGAGCTTCCATTGGTCAAGTATTTATTATTTTTATAGAATACAAAATTACAATTAAAATTAAAATAATATTATAATTATAATTTTGTATGGTTAATATAATCTCTAATTATGTGCATATTCAAATAAACTTATAGAGAGAATTTACATAATTACATTGATTTATTATTAATTGTATTTCATCTATATTATAATTTTCACAATACGAATTATAACTAAGATAATTACATTTGGAAAGCAAATTTTAAATTTTGTATGTCTAAATTATTTAAACTCTAATTGAACACATTTTTTATATGATTATAATATATATATATATATATATATATATATATATATATATATATATATATATATATATATATATATATATATATATATATAGCTATTTGTGACATTAATTGTAACATTAATTATTTCCCAAACCATATAGCTTTATTATATAAAGGATTATTATTATTATTATTATTATTATTATTATTATTATTATTATTATTATTTAATGTTATTGAACATTTTCTATCACACATTAATATATTTGTAATAATTAATTATAATTAAGGAATATGAATAATTGTGAAATTTAACTTAACTACACTAACACATTTTAGTTCACAAAATAAGTTGAGAGTGGAATAGCATTTCTGGAAATGGACTTATTAATTGTTTGGTACGTTATTTTATTATTGTGATTAATATTATCAGGAATGAGCAATTCTCTTTGTAGGAAAGTAGCTTTTCCAAGGAAAGGAGAGGGGATGCTATTAGATTATTTCCGAATTTTCATAAATAACTTTTTTTTTTAATATCTAACTTATCTTTACATATTTTTGTTATTTATTTATTTATTTATTTATTTATTTATTATTATTATTATTATTATTTTAAGAAATCAAACGGTATTCGGTTCAGTTCAATTTTTTACCGAACAATTTGGATCGGTTCAGATCGGTTTTTTATTGAACCGTTCGTTATACAAGAATCCAATACCGTTCGATTGTTCGGTATATTACCGAACCAAATTAGTTCGGTTCGGTTTGGTACGGTTCAGTTCGAGAAAACTAAACTGAATTGTCCATCCCAAAAGTTAATTACCAAAATGGTCCCTTGACTATAGCGAAATTACCAATTTAGTCCTAAGTTAACGGTTTACTAACGGGCAAACAAACGGAGGACCAAATTGGTTAAGATTTTTAAAGTTGAGGGACTTAATTGGTTAAAAAAATAATCAAGGACCAAATTGGTAATTTTGCTATAGTCAAGGGACCATTTCAGTAATTAATTCTTTATCAACCTATTGAAGCACAAAGAGTCAATACCTTCTCCACTAGAGCTCAAATCCATGACCTCACATTTGGGAGAGTCACTTCATGCTACTAGACCACAAGGTCATTGACTATTATACATAAAATATTATGACCTTGATTGGTAAAATAGTTAGCTTATCAGACAAATTTGACTTATTTGATTACTATTAGTTGTTTGACTTGATTAAAGAAATCAATATAAGTGTTTAATTAGTTAATAAGCTTTTTATAACTCCAAAATCCTAAAATTCAAAAAGTTGTTCAAGACAACTTTATCAATTAGCTTTTTGAGAAAGGAAATTATACTAAACAGCTATCAACTAACAACTAATTTTCTAAACACTTTCTACAATCAGCTAATATTATCAACTAATATAATTATACCCTCTAACTTAAACAGCTAACAGAGCTATCAGCTAACAACCATTTACAAGGTTGAATATATATTAGCTCTACCAGGTGGGCTGAGGATGCATGAGAAGGGCAAGGCAATGATGCCACTTAGCTGTAAAATGATGGTCAACTGTATAAGAAAAGGTAATTAGTAGCACTAATCACTGTAGTTAAGCAGTAAATCCCACTTTAAAAAATGTATGTGTGAGCTTAAATGTGAAGGTGTGTGTTGGTGAATGGATGAACACGCTTGGAGGCTAAGGCAGATTAGTGATTAGTGATTAGTGATTGGGATAATTAAGGGGAAAAGACAGGGTGATTAGGCTTCCTTGGGATGGGACAGGGTGGGGGCCCACCTGCCAATTGTGAGGGTGTTGTGGCCGACAATTTGACTAGTTTTTCATGTCCCCAGCTGAGCCAACAGGAACTACTCCACTGCCCACTGGGGATTGTTAAAACCTTAAAAAAATATTTGTAAAAGAGTTTTTTTTTTTTTTTTTTTTTTCAATATATAATTTGGGTGGTATAAATATGTAATTAAATAAGTTTTATACTTACACAATTGCCTTGGAAAAAAATCCTACTCAGATTTATTTTCTTTAACTTTAAGCAATTTAGTTAAATTACTTGTTTATCCAAACTTTCTTAAAACAAAGACTCACCAAACATAAGAATAATTTTTGAATTCACTCTACCAAGGTCTCTTGTCTTGGCAAATTTAAATTTAATTTCATATTACCGTTTTTTACAATTTAACATCCTAAATTATTATTTTTTGGACACTTTTAATTTTTCTCATGACTTTTCCTATTTTTAGTAAAAGTATTTTTGTCTATTCATTTTCTTAAAATTATTTTTTCCATTTCAAACGATTTAATTGGTTTAGGACTATATTAAAAACTAATTGAAAAAACTGGTTCATTGGTTTAACGGGTGTTTTTCACAAAAAAAAATAGGGAGCATCTTGAAAAAAAAAATTTATTTATTTTATTTTTGTTTATTTTCATTTTTGTTTGTGAGAAAAAAATCTACAAAATTTCTAATTTGATAGAGTTTGAAAACAAAAATGAAAATAAAAAAATAAAATAAATAAAAGAGTTTTTTTCCAAAATGTTCCCTATTGTTTTTTGAAAAAAATCTACAAAAATTCTAATTTGATAGAGTCTAAAAACAAAAATGAAATAAATAAAATAGTTTTTTTTTTTAAAAAAAAAAAGGTCCCTCGATTATTATTGGGTGTATTAGGCACAAAATAAGTAAACAGACCAAAATGGGTACAATTGGGTGAGTTTTTATAAAGTCGATGGACTACATTTGGTACAATTGAAAGTCGAACTGCAAAATTGAGAATGGGCAATAGTTGAATGACCATTTTGGGAAAAAACTCATATCTAAAGCAAAAACTTGCGTGAGACCGTCTCACAGGTTTCAATTCGTGAGACGGGTCAGATCTTTGATTAATGAGGTCAAGGATCCGACCCATTAATCAAATATCTTACCCGTCTCACGAATATAGACCCGTGAGACGGTCTCACACAAGTATTACCCCATATCTAATAGTATAGATAGTGTCCTACACTAAGTAGAATCAAACACTTACAAGTAATTTTGATATGAAAAAAACAACTAGCAAAACTAAGATTAGAACTGTCTATAGGTGGTTCAAGATGTAAACTCCTAAAAGCGATAAAAATGAGAGTAAAACAACAAGGGAAACAATCAAAACACACAAATTGATAACCTAGTTTGGAGAGAATTTCTCCTACACCTACGGCATATTCCAAAGTCAGTTTGCTCAACTCTCATTAATCATCAACCAATGAATCATACAAGAGGCAAACTATCATGCCATATAATGAATGCCCATTGCTAACCTCTAGAATATCTCCTCTAATGGCTCTAGGGTTGAACTATTTTTGATAAGTTTCCCGCGTTTCCAAGGCGGGAGAGGATGGAAGCGGAGGTGGCGCCACCACCCAGCTGCGGCGGTGGTGACGCGATTATGGAAGAAGGAGGGTCGAGAACGTTCAAACATTTTAGACAGACCAAGCGGTCCTTCGCGGAAGCCACGGCTGACCAGGCGGTGCTTGGGGAGGATGCGCCGTACCGCGACTCGGAGGCGAATTGGTTTGAGGACGAAATTTTTGTGGAACCAGATAAGGAGGATGATCTTCCACCACTAATGGAGGAGGTGCCGGTAGTCCGTCTGCCGCACGCTCTGAGGGCGGAGATCATCAAACCATGGAAGAATGCTTTATTAGTGAAATACCTGGGGAAACCTGTAGGTCTCTCTCTTTTCAAACAACGCATGCCAAAAATCTGGAATCTGCAAGGTAGGTCTAAGATCGTGGACCTAGGGTGGGGCTGGTTCGTGGTGAGATTTCAATTGCAAACTGACTGCTTACACGTCCTAGTTGATGGCCCTTGGAAACTCTTCGATCAATACGTAGTGGCACAGAGGTGGAAACCCCGGTTTATTCCAAGCACGGCCAAGCTTGAAAGAATGGCGGTTTGGGTCAAGCTACCGGATCTTCCGGTTGAATGCTTTAGATAAGACATTATCAAGATGGTGCTGAAACAGGTGGGTACCCCGCTGAAGTTGGACAAAACCACAGCGGGCGTAGAGAGAGGCAATTTCGCAAGGGCGGCGGTGGAAGTTGATCTTTCTAAACCGCTCGTAGCTTTAGTTCAGGTGGAGGATTGGCTTCAAAAAGTGGAGTTTGAAGGACTTCATGCGATTTGCTTTGACTGCGGGGAATTCGGGCATAGATCATCGGACTGTCCAAGGAACCAAGACAGTGGTACGGAGGCTACGGGTAAGGAAAGCAACGCGAATGAAGAAGCGGATGAATTGCATGCGAACATTAGAGAGTCTCGTATCAATCCTCCAACAGCTACCCCAACCAAACTGCACGGCTCATGGATGATTGTCCAGCGTAGATCAAGGGAGCAAAATGGAGGGAAGAACCACACTAAAGCGACCCAAAAACAGAACCAGAGAAAGCCGGATAAAGGGGAAACAGGCGGTGGTCTCCAGCCGATCTCAGGGATCCGTGAGGGCACTACCTACCACCGCAAAAGCCAATCTGCCGAGCAACAATACGGCCATAGCCGGATCGGTGCCTGCAGGCACAACCAGCGTAGGCCAGACGGGGGGCCCTTCTACAGGTAAGGTCCTCCCTAACGTTCCTATCCCTACTTCTAACGTCTTTGGCAGTTTGCAGGACCTCGAGGGATTGGTGGAAACCCCAATCATGGTGGAAGATAACACAAATACCAGAAGCGAGCTAAAAGATAAGAGAACAAGGAGAGTCAACAAAGGAAAAAAAACACAGGCAGCAACTCACGATACTGCCACCACCAAGTCTAGCTCAATGGGATCGACGTACATCAGTATTCCCGATGGGCGGTTCGTCTTTGGAAGCGTTGCTAACCTGAGCGCCATGGGGATAGTGACAGAGACTACGTGACACAAGCTTGAGGAATGCGGTGCTAATACTTCCTCGGCCTCTAAACCGTCCCAATGAATATTATCTCATGGAATTGTAGGGGGGTGGGGAACCGGCTTACGGTCAACCACGCCAAAGTTTTGATGTCAGATACCCAGGTGGGTGCCATCTGTTTTCTTGAGACCAAAACAAAAAACGTTTCTAAGTTAAACAAAATGGCCAAAAATTTGGGTTTTGATAAGATGTTTATTGTTAACCCCCTCGGTTTCGCAGGTGGTCTAATCCTCCTTTGGAGGTCGAGCATTTTGAATTTTCTGTGGTCAGGAACACTACTCAGGTCATTCATGGCATCGTT